TGGATAGCTTAATGTCAGAGCAATTATTTCTCATCAAGCAAAACCAATGACTAAACCATCAAGCAAACAAACAATCCAGGTTCTGTTCTCAGTTTTGTTTCCTCATGTATGACATAAAGAAGTTTTTAATGGAACCAATATTGTCCCATTGTGATAGAAACAAGAACCATAAATTTCAAAGATCCATAACTATCCAAATAAATCTTAAAATCCTTAGAAGGCAAAAAATTCAAATAGCAAGAGCAAAAACAAATTACCTGGCCATACTGGGGTTCGGGTAGCTCGCCAGTGGCCGGCACGACGTTCATCACGCCGTCGTCCACGTTGCAAACGTACAGCTGATTGCTGCAGCTCTCGCCGAAGGGCACGCCGGTGCCGCCGTACACCATCAGCGCGTTGCCGCGCAGTATCACCGCGTTCGACGCCAGCTCGTTCGGCATGTTCTCCTGGCCGGGCAGCCGCTTCCACCGCTCGCTGACCAGGTTGAAGCGCCACAGCTCCTTGAACAGCGGCTTGCTGGCGTACCACGTCTGGTCGTTGCGCATGTCCGGGTCGGTGTCGGACACGCACGGATTGAATCCGCCGTACGAGTACAGATTCCGATGGTCGCACGCGATCCGGTGGCCGCTCCGCGCCTTCGGCCGCTCCCGCCCGTTCGCCCTGTGCTTGGTGAACACAAACGGCTTGAACGTGTACATGCTTCCTCCGTCGATTCTCACCCGCCCGTCGTTCACCCGGTGAATCCGAACGTCGCGTCGCGCGACGAGTAAGCGCTCAAGCGACGAAAGCGATCTGAAAGACTCGGCGCACTACGTGGCTCTTCTCCTCGGCGGGGCTGCGTCGCGTATCGCGCTCATTCCTAACCTCCAAGAACGGTCAACCTAACCTCCACGCCCGCTCCACAGGCCTCACCTACTTTACAGGTGTCAAATCCGTCTAACCTAAGGCGAGATTTGTCTATCTGAGAACTCTCTCATCCGCGTGGCACGAAACTCGCGAACAAACCGATACCTGGGTGGATCTCGGGGAAGAACTGCAGGTCATCCTCGCGCGGACAAGATTCGCGACACGCGCCCCTCTCTTTCCGCCCTCTGACGCGCACGGCGCTCGTCGGAACGACGATCAAGCGGATCAAGTGGAGTCGCTTTTCCCGTGACCGCGACAAAGGGTTCAGAACGGTTCTTCACGCTCTCGCGACGACGGCCGACGTCGGACGCACTCTTCTCGAGTGTGTTCTCTCTTGAGGGCTCGAAGTGCTCGAACCTGGAGGTCGCCGTTCACTCCGGCTGCTGCATTCCGATATTCACCGTCAGCAACTTTCAGTAATGAAAATCTATAGTACACGTGACGTAAAATATAGATTTGCAGTACTGATGACAGTGAATATAGGTGGAAGCACATAAAATTACAGGAGCCATAGGCAGAATGCAGAAGCCATAGCGCATGCGCTGTGGTATTACTTTATCTGCCTATGGCAGAATGGCAGATATCGTAGCGCATGCGCTATGGTTTCTGTATTCTGCCCATGGCTTCTGGATTTTCAATTTACATAAAAATACATAATGCATAGCCAATAGCCACGGGCATAGGCACATACATTCTCATTGTAGCCGGTCCTAAAGAAAAGTGATTAAGAACAAAGAACAAATTTATATTGATTAACACGTAAGTATTCTCATTATTTAATTATCAACGTAATGAAAATACGATCTGACAATGACCGTATATAATTATATTAGTGTG